TCAATCAATCAATCAATCAATCAATCAATCAATCAATCAATCAATCACCTTCATTCAGTACTCTCACTGAATTTGTAATCTCTTTCTTTGAAGCCACAGGATATTAGCCTATAACCTAAGGAGATGCGGCAGACTTTCCACTTTCATCCAGCAAATGGATATTGCTTCCAGAAATACAAGGTAACGAGTATAGGGGAGAAAGATAGATTTCAAATTCTGCTTGTTCATGATGATGAAGTAATGATACCAACATTGAATTGTGTTTCACCAAAAGAATCGAAGGCTGTGGGGATAAAATTTTTCTTTCCAGTAATCACAAGCTTTAGGTTCATCCCAAAAGATTTGAGTCCAAGGATCACAGTGATGCTCTGGAGGAGTACCAAGGGAGTGCAGGAAGCTGGAGAGCTCAGTCTTTTCAATGAGGTATTATGCCAAGGTTTGCTGTTTCTGGAGGATGTAAAAAATTCTGTATTGCCATTGTGAGGAGCAGTTGGCTTATCGCACCAGTGTTTGGCCAACGTTTATCCCTAAAACAAATCATCATCACGTCATTTGTGGGAAATTGCTATTGCACAGGTCAGAGATAGTGAGAACTGCAGATGCTGGAGTCAGAGATAACTCAGTGTGGAGCTGGAGGAACACAGCAGGCCAAGCAGCATCAGAGCTGAAGAAGGGTCCTGACACGAATTGTCGACATTCCTGCACCACTGATGCTGCCTGGCCTGCTGTGTTCCTCCAGCTGCACACTGTGTTATCTATTGCACAGGTCAGGTGCCTTGTTTTGTACATTAGCACAGTGACAACATTTTATTGTGTGTCCTGCACTTTCAGATATCCTGTGGCTCTGAAAAATGCTATACATGTAGAGCAATATGTAATGCAGTTTCCTATCATCATACTTGTGATTTTTTTTTATACATAAAGACATTTCCAATAAAAAAAAAAATTGGTCTTAAAACTGTGCAGACATTTCCAGAGAAAGTCTTTATCAATTCTCCTTTGCAGATTACTTTTGAATCTGCTTCGGTCACACTTTTAGGCAATGTATTCCAGATGAAGTATTCCATCGTGTAATATAAAATGCTCACTCCCTTCCCTATCTTTGAGTGATTTTCTTAATCTGTATCCTTTTGTTACTGACCTTCCAGCTAGTAGATTTTTTTTTGTACTTTATCACAATTTTGAAAACCTCTGAAATTTTCCCTTAACCATCTCTACTGTAAGGAGAACAATCCCAGCTCCTGGTATTTGTCCACGTACCCTGAAGCCCCTCAACCCTAGTATCAGCCTAGTAAATAAAAGCAAAATACTGCAGATGCTGGAAATGTGGGGGAAAAAAAAAGGAAATGCTAGGTCTGTCAGCATCTGAGCGGAAAGAAACAGAAGAGGAGTCATCTCGGATTGGAAATAAAGTTAACTTTTTTTTTAATCTCTCTCCACAGATGCTGCCAGACCTCCTGGGTTTCTCCAGCATTGTCTGTGTTTCTAACAGTCTGGTGAATTTCCTCTGCATCTTTCCTAAGTAATCAATATTCCTCCTAACTAGCGCTGCTAAGAAGCACTGTGATGTGCCTTGTGCTTTGTGATGGCTGTATCTTAAACTGTTTTTCCACCACCCATGTGACAGTATGTGATGTACAGTTGAACGTAATCCATAGAAATTAGAGAGCAGCCTCACTAAAGGTGAGATGTGTCTACACAGCCTTTTGGTTACCGTTGTATAGAATATATATGTATGTTTATATATATAGTCACATATAGTATGTGTACCATAATGTTAATTTTGCAAACTTGGTTTCTGTGTGATAAATGGAAAATTGCAAAAAGAATTGGACTCCAGCTGAGGCATAAGTAGTGATTTTAAGAGGTTTGATATGATTTCCTTGCTTTTGTACTGAATACCTCTACTTGTATAGCCAAGATCTGGTATGCATTTTTTTTTTTTTTTAAATTTTTTTTATCAGTTTGCAGGTTTGCAAATGTGGATCCAACAGATCTGTCTATTTCGCTGCCTCTGTAAAATGATAAACTATAATCGCTAATGCCGTGAAAGGTAAGATTCAATCAATTTAGTTTACTCTAAGATAGTAAAAAGTAAACAAGATGCATTGAACACAAAGAAATTGCTTTGACAGCATCTCATCCCTAGCACTGAAGATTCACCAGAAGCTGTCCAACTTGCTAATCAAACACCCTTCATGTAGCTATGGGACGAGTATGAAATTTCCATGAAAAATAGCAGAGGAAATCTAACACAAGCAATAGACATTTCTATCCACCTCCTCCAGACTATCAGCCAAGTCATGCAGCGTATTATCAATAATATCATTAAACTACATCCCTCACAATAAAATAGATTATCACAACAACAAACTGAGGAAGGGTCACTGGACCGGAAACGTTAACTAACTCTGTCTTTTTTTTCTTCACAGATACTGCCAGGGAGCTGAGCAGTTCTTTCGGTTTTTAAAATAGATTGTCCTCAATCCATTTAGCTCCAAATGTCATCACAGTTACATGATTGTAATGTTGATGTCAATTAAATGCTGTGTTCTGGACAAGAGATGAGAGTGGTTGCTTTCAACATCAGAACAGAATTTAATCAAATAGCACTGAGTAGCCTGAGCAGAAGTCAATAGAACAGAGATGTTAGTTCAGAGCAGTAATCATTCCAGCTTAATGCTACCTTTGCAATTGTTACTCAACCTAGAATGCTTCACCCAGCCACCTTTGAATTATACGATGGTTACAGCAAAGAAGGAAGCAATTTGGTCCATTGAGCCTGGACAGCAATTTGTCTTGTTCCAATCTCACATTCTTGCCCTTTAGCCCTACAATTCTTTTTCTCTTTAAATGATTATCCACTCCTCTTTTGAAAACCACAACTGAGTCTGCCTCTACTGCAGTGCATTCAACATCACAGCCACTGTCTGTGTTTTAAAATTTACATTTTTATATTAGTTTGACATCTGTGTCTTGGTTTTCAACCCTTACATTAATGAACAACGTTTCCCTCTCTGTCTGTATCGCTCCCTTGTGGTTCTGAACATTGCACTCCTAACTCCCTGCTTAAAACAGGAAGAACCCCAAATTCTTCAATCTAGCCTGTAATGGAAGTTCTCACCTATGGAACCATTGTTGTATATCTTTTCTTCAGTCTTGTAACCCTCACTTCAGATGCTCTCTTTTAGAAGGGATGGAGTTAATCTATGCACAAATGGCTTTACAATGGTCAGTTTCATTCATGACTCCTTCCTCTGAGCAGATCTTAAAATGGCAATGTTTGACGCTGCAGTAAAGGGCAACATATCATTACGATGTTGTTGGGTGAGTTCTGAGGTGAACAGAGGAGTTTAGTCTGAATCATTGCATGCCTGAAATGAAGTATCTTCCATTCTCCATGACCACTGGAACTCCGTATTGAGCAATAACTGCCTTCCCTTGTATCTGTTTTCTCTATGATGTGTTAAAACATTAAACAACGTTTCTGTTTTGCTTCTTTTTATTGTGATGTACTAAATCGACAGATGAGATACGGAATTATTTCAATCTTGTATCATTAATATTAATAAGAAACTGGACTGAGTCAGACAATTCTGCAGAATCCTGCATATGTATATTGCATCATACAGTCTTACAAACAAATGCACATTAAGGATCATAGTGAATAGAATTTGAAACACTCATTTTTAAGACTTGAAATCCAAGTTGTTTTTCTTCTTTTGTACAGAATTGGGCATGTGTTTGTTATAACTTTTTTTATGCTGCATATTCATATTCTTCAGCACTGCGTCGACCAAAATCCATCCATCCTACGTAATCCCGATCGCTTATCCTGTGGGAGGGATCCAGGTTCTGCAATTTGCTTCCCACAGGAGTGCCTCTATCCAAGGAACCTGAGAAGACAAAACACAAGACTAGATCTGAATGTTTAATCACCATTTAATTTAGACAAGAAACACAGAGCACAAGAAATAGGAGCAGAAGTAGACCATTCAGCCCTCTAGCCTACTCCACTATTCCACAAGATCCTGGCTGATCCTCAATCACTGTTCTAATGTAGGTGGCCTGATTAGTAAATTTATGGATGATGCACAGATTGGGGGAGATGTGGACTGTGAGGAAGATTACCAGGGAATGCAGCAAGATATAAATAGCCAGTAGACTTGGGCAGAGAAATGGTAGATGGAGTTGAATCTGAACAAATGCGAGGTGATGCATTTTGGAAGACCTAATGAGGGAGGGAAGTATACAGTAAATGGCAGAACCTTTAGTAGCATCAACATTGAGGGTTGTAGGTGTACAGATCCACAGATCCACAGCTCCCGAAGGTGGTAACACAAGTAAATAAGGCAGTCAAAAAGGCACATGGCATGCTTGCCTTCATCACTCAGAGCATACAGTTTAAAAATTGGCAAGTCCTGTTGCAGCTGTATAGAACTTTAGTTCGGCCACATTTGGAATATTGCATACAGTTCTGGTCATCAAACTATCGGAAGGATGCTTTAGAGAGGGTACAAAAATGGTTTACCAGGATGTTGCCTGGTTTGGAGAGCATTAGCTATGAGGAGAAACTGGACAAACTTTGTTTTCACTTGAATGTTGAAGGATGAGGGGCGACCTAATAGAAGTTTACAAAATTATGAGAGGTGTGGATAGAACGAATAGTTGGAGTCTTTTTCCCTGGGGTAGAAATGTCAGGTACTAGGAGATGTGAGAGGCAAGTTATTTTTGCCTGGAATGCACTGCCAGGGGAAGTGGTGGAGGCAGATACAATAGAAATGTTTAAGAGGCATCTTAACAGATACATGAACAGGCAGGGAACAGAGGGATACAGACTGAATAGAGGCAATAGATTTTAGTTTAGAAAGGCATCATGTGTCAGCACAGTCTTGGTGGGCTGAAGGTGGGCCTGTTCCTGTGCTGGACTGTTTTTAGTTCTTTGTTCTTTGAGGAGCAGAAGACTGACAGAACACTTATTAGCGACTGTTGAAATCCATGATGTTGGAAGAACATGTCAAATATTTTGCATCACGTGCTATACTTTGAGAGATTCGTACAGCACGGAAACAGACCCTTCAGTCCAACCAGTCCACACTGACCATGTTCCCAAACTAAATTAGTCACATCTCCCTGTGCTTGGCCCATATCTCTCGAAACCTTCAAAGTGCTAAATCATAACATTTTATGCTGTACCACTAACCTGTAAGTTATTTTCAACAGTGACAAGTAGACATCTGAGACAATGATCAATTTGGAGATTTATATATGATGGATTTTATCTAGTGATACTGCTAAGTAATCTCAATTCACAGTATATTTTAACCAAAACTTTAGACATGTTAGACTAGTGCTTGTGTAGAAGGGAGGTGTTAAGTTTCCTAAAGGCTTATGTCAGTGGATGGAATGGACATATTACAATGTACATAGTTAAACATAGCTATCAGTAAAAATGGTCCTTTGTAAACCTTGTGGATAATGAGCACACTCAATGGAAAATATGTTTTTTTTCTCAGAAGCAGTTATCTCAAATTGAAATGTGTAGATTAAACAGCTAAAACACATGGGTTGTGCCCTGTTGATCAGTGAAATATATGCAATAGCTTTTCTTCTGTCTTGGCTGGTTAGATTTAGATTTATTGTCACATGTAAATGAGTTAGAACTAATTCTGTTCTTGGGTGCACCTATAATTAATTTATATTTTGTGCAGTATCTTCTCATCATAGCTTTGTTCTAACTCTTGCATTCAATATGACATCCCAACCCATATACTCAATGTACTGACCAAAGAAGGCAAGTGTGCCAAATACCTTCTGCACCACTGTGTCTGCCTGTGATTCTGGTTTTGAGGAATTATGCACCTGCATCCCTAGGTCTCTGTTTGCAACACTTCCCAGGGCCTACCATTAACTGTATAAGTGCTGCCAAAATGCAACACCTCACATTTGGCTCATTAAAACTCCACCTGCCACTCCTTGGCCCATTGGCCCATCTGATCAAGATCCTGTTGTACTCTGAGATAATCTTTTTCACTGTCCACTACACCACCTATTTTGGTGTCATCTGTAAACTTAGTAACCATGTCTCTTATATTCACATCCAAATCATTTCTTTAAATGATGAAAAGCAGTGGACACAGCAGTGATCATTGTGGTACACCACTGGTCACAGGCCTCCAGTCCAAAAGCAAACCCTGTCACCATCTTCTGTCTCCTACCTTCAAGTCACTTACCCTGGCTCCCATAGGGATCTAACTTTTCTCCCTAGTCTACCAAGTGGAACCTTGTTGAATGCTTTGCTGAAGTCCATATAGACAATGTCTGTCACTCTGTCTTCATCAATCTTCCTTGACACCTCTTCAAAAACCTCACTCAGGATAGTGAGACATGATTTCCCATGCACAAAACCATGTTGACAAATTGTAATCAGTCCTTGCCTTTCTAAATGCATGTAAATCCTGTCTCTTGGAATCCCTCCAACAATTTATCCACCACTGATTTAAGGCTCAAGGGTCTATAGTTCCTTGGCTTTTCCTTACAGCCTTTCTTAAGTAATGGCATCACATTAGCCAACCTCCAATGTTAGAAAGTATTTGGCTTGCTTGCCTTCATTGGTCAGATCATTGAGTGTAGGATTTGGGAGGTCAGTTTGCAGTTGTACAGGGCATCAGTGAGGCCACTTTTGGAAGATTGTGTACAATTCTGGTCACCCTTCGATAGGAAGGATGTCATTAAACTTGAGAGGGTGCAGAAAGATTTACAAGGATGTTGCCGGGACTGGAGGGGTTGAGTTATAGGGAGAGGCTGAATAGGCTGGGGCTATTTTACCGTGAGCGTCGGAAGCTGAGGGGTGACCTCCTAGAAACTTATAAAATCATAAGGGCAATTCACCCTAATCATGCCCAAGGTCTTTTTCATAGGGTGGGGGGAGTCCAAAACTAGAGGGCATAAGTTTAAAGTGAGAGGGGAAAGATTTTAAAAGGACCTGAGGGGTAACTTTTTCCACACAGAGGGTAGTGTGTATATGGAATGAGCTGCCAGAGGAAGTGGTGGAGGCTGGCACAATTACAATATTTAAAAGGTGTCTAGATGAGTATATAAATACGAAGGGTTTAGAGTGATATGGGCCAAATGCTGGCAAATCGATTATGTTAGATTGGGATGTCTGGTCGTCATATGGACCCAAGTGTCTATTTCCGTGCTATGTAACTCTATGACTCTATAATATGTGTCCTACATCTATGAAACGGAAATTCATTTTTGAGATTTAACTATTTATTTTAAACATGAGATATTCTTGATTACTGCTGGTGTAATTTTGAATCCAATATATTTTTTATAGCATTATTTAATTTGAATTGTTTGTGTTTCAGAGTCATGTAGAATCAGCCTTTTCCTATTCAGGCTGTCAGGTGTAAAAAAAACATTTTAAATGATTTCTAAAAGAAATTAACATTTTTGTTAAAACATTAAAAAAAACACCCATCTTCTCCAAATTGGATTTTTGCTGATTTAGATGACAGCTGCTGTAAACTAGAAACATGGGAGCAAATGTTCTTAGTACTTCCGAGGAGAAAGTATCCAATTATTTGATTACTTTGTGGCTAATTATCTACCATAAATCTCAAACAGATTAGTCCTGCATTTACATTCCAGATAATTGCATTTCCAATAGGCTAACATATAAAACAAAATGACTGACTGACTGATTTCTAACCAGATGGTACAATCCTAATTTAATCATGTATTTAGTGTAGAACGGGCTGTTCTTTCAACATTTAAACATGAAAGACTTTCTAATCAAATACACTTTGACTGCAGAATTTCACATCAACTATGATTGTTGTTTATATGTATTAACTAAAATGACTTCACAGCATGCCTGTTTTCGTGGACATCTTGTTGCAAAGATGGAAACAAAAAGTTAGGTATATTCTGCAGAAGAAGCAGGAAGAATTGAAAAGCAGGCTCTGTATGTTGGCACTGGGAGATACATTTGCATGACTTGTTTCAACCCATCCTGCATCACTGTGAGAGAGTGCCTGGTGGGCATTCAAGTCTCTTTCTTTCTTCATTCTTGATTGCATCTGGAGTATTGTGCACAATATTGATCCCATCATTTGAGGAAAGATATGAACGTGTTAGATGCAGTTTGGAGAAGGTTAATTATACTAATAGCTGGAATAGGCAGATTAATTTATAAGGAAACATTGGGCAGGATAATCTTGTATCTGATGGTGATTAGAAAAGTAAAGGTGGCTTAATTGTAACATACAAAGCTCCTAAAAGGCTTTGATAAAGTTGATATGGAAAGGTTATTTCCTCTGGTGGTAGAATCTAAAATAAGGGATCATTGTTTAAAAATAAGGCAGGCCCATTTAAGACCGAGATTAGGAGAATTTTTATTCCTCACAGAGAGTCATGACTTTTTGGAAATCTCTTCCTCGAAGGCGGTTGAAGCAGAGTTATTTTATATTTTTGAAATAGAAAGAGAGAGATAAGCAGACAAGGGGTAAAATTTTCACAGTAGTAGTCAGGAATGTGGAGTTGAGGTTGCAATCCGTATCGCCCTGATCTTATTAAATGGCAGAGCCAGTTCATAGGGCTGAATGGCCTATTCACCCCCTTTTTTTTATTAAATGTTCGCATGTATGTAAAACCTGCAAACTACGGATGCTAATTAAACATATCAGCACATTTCCAAAGCTAAGCTGTTTAAAGTAATTGGTGAAAGAATTTAATGGGGCCTGGGGAGAAATTATTGTACCATAGAGTGTAGGAGTCTGAAGATCACTGCCTGAAAGGATAGAACCAGAATTTGAGGGAAAAAAAAGCACCTGGTGATGCAATTAAGTGTAGCAGTCTACAGAGCCAGAGACTAAAGGCTGGAAAGTGGCATTGAGTTGGAGAGCTGTTTCTCAGCCCACATAGACATGATAGATGGGAAGGAATATTTTTGTAAATTTCTATGATCCAATGTAATAATCATAAAATGACTATGGTTTCGGGGGGTGGGGTGGTGCGGTGGGGGGGGGCTGTGTGTTTGATGATGTGGTTGTGGGGGAGGTGAACCAGAGGCAGTGACAAATCCGAACCTCTAGAAATGCTCTAAAGCCAAGGGGGATCTACTTATTACTTAAACCGGCTTCACACGAATTAAGATAATAATAAAAGAAGTTAAACTGCCCTTCCATTGCTGGTATCCAACTCTTTTAGGATGATTTTAAAGATCTCTTGTAGGACTATCGATGATACTACTGTACACCCTCAGCTAGACAATGAGCAGCTAATTCTCTGTCTAGTTCATGGAAAATTTGGAACAGTATCTTAAAATATTCAAGAAACATTATGACTGGTTCAGGTGGACACCCTGCATGGTGACATGACTTCAAGTTTGATATTCAGTGCATTTCCAAGGGGGAACAACAAAGTGTCACAAAGATGTTGAAAGTAAGCAAAATGCTTGTCCTCTATTCTGACTGGACCTGTCCCATCGCATTAGCTATTATTGGTGCCTTGTCCAGATGGGGAATTGGTTAGTTTAGTTGACCGGGCAGCTGGTTTATGATGCAGAGTGATGCCAACAGTTTGGGTTCAATTCCTGCACTGGCAGAGATTGCCATGAAAGGCTCTGCTTCTCAATCTCTTACTTTGTCTGAGGTATAGTGACCCTCGTGGTAAAATCATCACCAGTCATCTCTCTCGCTAATGAGAGAGCAGCCGTATAGTCTGGTAGGATTACGGCAACTTTATCATTGCCAAAAATTGAAGTCAAGTCTCCAATTTTTGACAGGATTGAATCAGCTTAATCAATGTATCAAACAATTTGTTAAATTTATTGATCCTTTTTGAGGTGTCCTGGCTTGTGATGGGGCTAGATATTGGTTTCTACAAAATATTGTTCAGCTGCTCTTTTTGAGACCTTTGTATAGAAATAATCTTTTTTTTGCTGGGATAATTACAATTATTTTAGAGAGCAAATAAAACAGACACGATTAGAATATTTCAATGGCAGTGGTGGGAGGGTTTGGTGAAGGCAAACATTGGAACTGTTGCTTTAATGCAAGCTCAAGTACAAAGACACAAAGCAAGTGCCTCATTCACTGGATCAATATGTCTGTACCAAAGGCTAAAATTCTGTCAGCTACAGTACTATTCTGATAATTCACAGAATTATTACAGCGCAGCAGGAGGCCATTTAGCCCATCACATCTACCCAAGCTCTCCCAATGAGTATTTCATTTAATACCGTACTGCACCCTTCTCGATGCACCCCTGCACACTGTTCCTTTACAAATACCCATCCATGCCCTTTCCAAATGTCTCAATTTAAACTGTCTCTGCCACATTCTCCAGCAGTGCATTCTAAACCCCAGCATTCCCTACATGAAAAAAAAATTCTCTCGCCTCGTTTTCTTCCCAGTTGTTTTAAATCTGTGCCGTCTTGTTCTCAATCCGCCCAGGTTTTCCACTATCCACTCTGTCCAGACCCCTCATCGTTTTGAATACCTCTATCAGATCCCTGCTGATGCTGCACTGTCATCTGTATTATGCCTGAAGGCGGACTCTTGGCTGCTTATTTTTGTTGTTTTCACAGTAGCTTTGGCCAGTGGCAAATAGTCAGTGCCTTCCATTCTCAGGGGTAGGGTGAGGTGGCAAATACCAAATCCACCTCCGATCAACAGGAATCAAACTCACATGGTTGGCATTATTCTGAACCACACACCAGTCACCTAGCTGACTGAGGTTACCGGCCCTCTTCTGCTGCTTTCACTATGCATAAAAATGTTTGTTTGATTAGAGAGTTATGACGAGCTAAATTTGACATTGGATTAACAAACTAAATGCCAACGAGAATGCCTGTACCATATCTATGTCAAAACATTAGACAAGTGCAGCAAACTCAAGAGATCCAAGCACCTGAAGTTGGTTATTGTTGGTTTAATGTCATCAACAAATAGAACATCATTCAATAACATTAGGGAACATCCATCCTCCATCCTGAGATTGTCAAAACAAATTTTCAATACGTGCCAAGAAAACAACTTCAGGGACCTCCCAAATCTTGACCAAAGAAAGCATCCATAAATTATGCTGGATTGAAATTCCAAGGGAGTTGTAAATGCACCATTACTTGCACATAGATCTAATTCAAAACATTTTCACTAGAAGCTGCTCTTTCTGAAATGTACACTGTTTCCCCCTGGAGTTAAAGCGTGGGGGCAAGGAAGGCAGTGTAAGGGGCTGCTTAGATTCTGGGAACAAAGGAAAATACTTCAGTCATCTGCAGAGAAGATGCACTGACTCCCCAGTTAAGGGGTTGTTCATGCAACAAGTTAACAATGGTTATAATTTGCTAGACAAATGCCTGATTACCAATGCAGTTGCTCTGAATTTCTGTATTGACTTTCAAGTGTTTGGGCAGAGGAAGAGGAAGATGATGCTGGGGAGCTGTGGAGGGATGCATTGCTGGACCAATGTTGCAAATGCAGAGCCTATGTAATGTTTTAATGTTCCAGAGATCGTCAGCTTCAGCTTTCTTTCCAATCTCATGTAGATGACAGCAAACATTGAGTAGGGTGTTCTTTATCTTTACGAGGTGTATTTGGGCCAATATACAAAGCATCAAAGCTAAAATTAAACAGACAGGGCTCAGCACAATCTTTTCAATGCACAGTTACAGCCTTAATGTAAGTTCTTCAGGTTATCTACCGACATTGAAACTTTAACAAAGTGATAACGCCTCCCCCTCCTCCAAATCCATGCAGAGATACAACATGATCGTTTATGGCAGGCTACTTTAATTGGTGCTGCAAGAATGAAGAATTCTGATGGATGTTAAGACATCCAACTGCTTTCCTGATCCTATCTTGTGATCTACATACTGAGATACACCAAAAAAACAATCATTTATAAGTTGAGCCACATGTATCAGTAAGCAAATGCAGAAATTATTGAATTACAAGTGCCATTATAATTAGTAGGTTCAATCTGCAGCTGGTGTAACTCACCTTTCCTGATTTGTTGAAGGTATTGTGTGAGCAGAGCTCCCAAGTTGGCTCTTTGCTCACTGCTCTGGAATGGTTTCACTTGGTCAGTGGACTGGGCTTCCCGAAGTTGCCTTTGGTGCATGGCAATGCTTTGCTTCAGCTCCCTGCCAATTGGATTCCCATCGTCAGACCCATTGATGAGTCCGCCAATGCAGCCCGAGTAGAGAACAGCAAGGAACACGCATACACAGATCCCACTGTTCATAGCTGGAATGAAAGGAAGTACAAACGAGGTGTAGTGAAACCCATCACCTCAAATAGGTGCATTTCAATCTTGAGCAGTTATTTGTTTCCAAACTTTTACACTAGTGCAAGAGGTTCACAACAATTGAGAAAAGAAGGCTGAGGGTATACTTCTCGATAATGACCACCAACAGCTGACATGTATTGAATTATTGATTTAGCTTTCTCACATTATTTACCACACATATCTTTCTCATCAGTGACAATCCAATGGGAATATGCTGCTTAAATACATTGCACCTGTAATACTGAGCTATTTGTAAAACATGTACATCTGGATAAAGACATTTTATTGAAACTTTTCCTCTTTCACTCATCAGGACAATGCATAAGATTATCAATACAAGGGGAAAACAAACAATTATACTGCATGAGAGGAGAGTGCCACATAAGCACTTAGTATTCTCCAAAGCACTCATCATTCTCCTCTCCTTCATGTTGGTTATCCCTTGAAATTATATTCATGTGAATGGTCCTGATGCATGCAAGATCAAAAGCTTCTGTACTACCAAATAACTATTTATGCTTAAAATTTGAATTGTTGTTTGAGAATAGATTTTGCTGTTCAAATTTCTCAGCTGGGTTAAGCAAGGATCTGCATTAGTTTGATTCAGTCTTTGTAGGTGAACTCTCACTATAGGACCAGAAGTGTTTATTAGGTTTTCTCTGCTTTTTATTTAAATCCTTGTTTCTTTTCAAGGAGAGGAATAATAACACCAGGGATTGGAGAATCCTCAGCAAAGATTATCAATACTGAGCTGTGTCAGGAATAGAGCCGTTAAATTCAGAATAAACAACGTTGCTCTGATTAAGATCTCATAGCCAGTTATGAATATTTGGAAATTATGTGAGGGTTTTATGCAATTTATTGACCTTTAAAGCAGGAAACATCCAAGCAAATTCATTACTGTTCTATCGATCTACTCTTGATCATCAGCAAAGTGATGGAAGGGGTCCTCAACAGTACTATCACATTGCACTTGCTCTCTAATAATCTGCTCAGTTTGGATTTTGGATTTTGTCAGGGTCACTTGCTCAGTGTTGAAAATATATAGCTATGTAAGTATTCACCTAGAAAGGAGAATGAGCTCTCAGTAGGACATAAGCTCAATTTCATTATGTTCAATTTATATAACACTGCAGCAGTTTGTTATTAAGTAAATCATGATAGGGGACGACTGGGCAATGATCTGGACATATAGTGAGGGTCCACAGGTATGAAGCAACTTCATGTCTGTATGAACAGAGTACAACTAGAAGCACAGATATTACACCAGTAGATGCAGTGTGTAGATAGCACAAGTCTTCAATGAATCCTGGCCTAATATTGAAAATGTAGGACAATATCGCAAGCAAAATATTTATGTTATGAAGTGACCAGATGCGGATACTTCTGGCGCAAAAGCGAAGTGCTGCAGGTGCTTGAAGTCTGAAATAAAACCAGAAAATGCTGGAAACCTCTTAGGCAACATCTGTTGAGAGAGAAACAGAGTTAACATTTCAGGTCCACAGCCTTATCCCAGACCTGGAAAAATATTAAGACATAAGAGAGGTTTTATGCAAGGGCAGAGGTATGGAAAAACAGCAGGAAGGAACAACAAACTTCACATGCAGAAGAACTTAAATGACAAACGGGATATTGGTGCAAAGTAAAAGGAAATGGAAATGGAAAAAGTAAAGAAACAAAAGATGGGTCAAGAAGAGGTGCAAACGTCAACAGCAGAATCCTCCTGTCCAAAAAATAGAAGCAGTAGTTATCATCTGAATATGTTGAACTTAGTACTGAGTTTGGAAGACTGTAAAGTGCCTGTTTGTATGAAAGGTTGATGTTTCTCTAGCTTGCACTTAGCTTTGTTAGAACATTGTAGGAGATCAAAGCAGGAGTGAGACAGAAAACTAAAATTACTTGAAGCTTGGGGGCACACAGACTGTATGGAGACGCTCCACCAGATGATCTGAATTTTGTGTATCTCACATAGAGGAGACACATCTGGAGCAGCAAATACAGCACACAAATTGACGGAACTACAGCTGTTTCACGTGGAGGAGTATTTGCGGACTTGAACAGTGTGAAGTGGGGAATGATGAAAGTGCAAATGATGCATTCCCCATATTTGCATGATAATGTGCCTTGGGGAGTTTATAAGTTCTATTTAACTAAAAATAAAGAAATTGTAGAAATGATCTGCCCTGTGGATGGCCTTAATGCATGATCGACTAAGTCTGTTTTCACTGTTGAGACATACCTAGTTTGTGTTGCTGCTGACTTACTGTATTAACATTTTCTTTGGAAGATTGTTTTGAAAATATAGCATTTGATGTAGTTTCTATCAAATGCTCAGTAGTTACATCAACCCACCATCAAACATAGGCATATTTTAATATTCTGTGTCAAATGACAGAACAAACAAAAACAGAAATTCCTGGACAAACTTATCAGGTCTGGCAGCATCCATGGAGAGAAAACAGAGTTAATATTTCAGGTCCAGTGACTCCTGTTCAGAATTGATCTGATCAGAGAACGTTAACTTCATTTCTACAAAATGAAGAGTTCAAACCGATGTTGGGTGGTTTTGGGTTTTACTAGTTTTATTGGAAACGGTTTAAATTCATAAAGCACTTGTGTATTTGATGAAAAGGCATGGATCAGATGAAGGAACAGAGAGAATCTCAAATGATTCTGATCATTTTGTGTGGATTTACATTCAAAATTCATTGGCAATTTCATCACACAAGGTGAGAGCTGCTCAGACTGGGCTGTTGTCTGTGAACATCAAGCAGCAAATTACAAGAGTTAAGATTGTAAATCTGGACCAATATATCTCCACTTCTAAATTGGCAGATGTCATTAATAACTGAGTGCGCAATACCTGTGCTCAGTAACCCACCTCCTGAAATATATTTATAACTATATAAAAACATTGCTTGGCCAAGTAGTTGAACTGAACAGTAGGCCAGAAGAAGTTATTCAGTGACTGTGTTGTCCCTTCAGCAGAGCCAAAGACAGTACACTGTGCAAGTGGAGAGGAGCTCTTGCGAACACTATGCAAACCAGATTTAACTGTTTTATCGCAGGCATTTCAGAGAAGGTTCACTAGAATGAGCCCTGATATGGAGCGATTGTCTTATAAGGAAAGGCTAAACAAGTTGAGACTCTACTCATTGGAATTTAGAAGAATGAGAGGTAATCTCATTGAAACACATTGGATTCTTAGGGGACTTGACAGGATTAATGCTGAGAGCATGTTTCCCATCCTGGCAGAGTCTAGGACCAGACGGCATTGTCTCAGAATAAAGGGGTGCTAATTTAAGACTGACATGAGGAAGAATTTCTTCTCTCAGAGGGTTGTGAGTCTTTGGAACTCATTGCTACAGAGAGCTGTGGGGCAGAGTCCTTGTGTATATTTAAGGCAGAGATAGATAGGTGCTTGATCAGTTCGGAAATCAAGGGTTATGGGGAAAAGGCAGGAAAGTGGACGTGAGGAATATTGGATCAGCCACGATCCTATTGAATGGTGGAGCAGGCTTGAGGGGCTGAATGGCCTAGTCCTGTTTCTTATGGTCTTATTAACTAACTAAATTCAAATACCTGAGGCTCACTTACCCACCAGAAGCAGAGAGTGTGGTTTCAGTTGACTGCTTCTGAAATACTACCAGAGAATGACTTGCCTTAATTGGTTCATATTAAGTCTCTGAGGTTGTTTCTGTGACCTTTTGATGCTGGCATGGAAGGGGAGCACAAGGGGCAACTCTTCAATAAAGACAAGCTACTGGGGATGCTTGAAATCTGAAAGAAATCCAAAGAAAACTGGAGGAGCTCAGCAGGTCTGCCAACATTGTGGAGAGAGAGAGAAAGATATTTGTGAAGAAGTCAGACCTGACTCGCTATGTTAACTCTGTTTCTCTCTCTCCACAGATGCCACCAGACCTGCTGAGTTTCTCCGGCTTTCCCTGGGTTTGCGAGGGACATTTCTAACAGCCCTTTCCACAGCTTCTTTCACCTCTTCCTGCTTCCTCAAAGTTGTGGGTGACAACGTATGGCACGGCAAAGTGAATGCAAAGGAAATATTGGCAAAGGTGAACAGGCATAGGCAGAGGGGGGATTGGATACTGAGGGGGACACGGTTCACGTTACCCTGAGTACCGTACTTTGTTAGATCTTGTTTCAATGAAGCATCTTGTGTGTCTGTGTCACAGATGGGTGACAAGACCAGAGAAGTTATTGGTGAAGATTTGACTTCAGCCCTTTGAGAAGGACCCAGATTTAACTTTGATATGAGCCGATCCGTAACTGCCTGGACTGGGCAGCACTTGCAAGATTCTGAGAGGAGGTGTCTAACTTCAAAAAACAACTTTGTAACTTGAGGGAAACACAGGTTCCTACCTAGTCTCTCCAATCGTTCCAGTGTTTGCAAAACGCAGCAAGGCGAGCCATACCAAAGACACACACATGCAAAAAGCTCCACTTTATCACAGCAGGTTAGATATTTCAAGAATATTTATTAATTAAAAATAAGACAGCGTTATTCCTTAGCGTTATCATTGTCAGCTTTATAGCCCAGGTAATGCCCACCTCACTCAATATTTCTAACGGATCAGCTTTTGTTTTTAGTTTATCTAGGGATCACGAAGCTGATCAGTAAAATCTACCCCTCCCTCCCCTCCCAAACTGGGTATCTTACCTGTTGGTGTAGTACTCCCAGCTGGTAGTGAACTCTCCTGCTTCAGGGAGACGGAGACCTGCCGCTGGTTGCAGCAGCGCTATTTATGAAGCCAAACAGCAGCAGGAGGAGGAGGAGGAGGGCAGATGAACCAGGATTGACGTGAGGGAATTAGGACAAAAAAAATCCCAGAGCAAAGTTGGTGAGGCGCGACTCCTGCCCACATCAACCAAACCCGTCAGAGTGGTGCTGGAGGGACGGGGAGTGAGGGGCTCAGAGGGTGTGAGGTGCTGGGAGTGAGGGTGAGGGAGTGAGGGGGAAGGAGAGGGTTAGGAGTTCGGAGTGAGGGGGAGTGAGGGGCTTGGAGTGAGGGGGAAGGAGAGGGTGAGGGGTTAGGAGTTCGGATTGAGGGGGAGTGAGGGGCTTGGAGTGAGGGAGAAGGAGAGGGTGAGGGGTTTGGAGTGAGAGGGAGGGCGTGAGGGGGAAGGAGAGGATGAGGAGTTCGGAGTGAGGGAGTGAGGGGTTTGGAGTGACAGGGAGGGAGTGAGGGGCTTGGAGGGATGGGAGAGGGTGAGGGTTTTGGAGTGAGGGTGAGGGAGTGAGGGGGAAGGAGAGGGTGAGGAGTTCGGAGTGAGGGGGAGGGAGTAAGTGAGACTGTCGGAATGAGAGGAAGGGAGTGAGAGGAGTGAGTGTGAGAATTTGAGTGAGTGAGACTCGGAGTGAGGGAGGGAGTGAGGAATCCCCCGGTCACCGGGAGCCCCAGGGTCGGATTAACCCGGGCTCGGGGCTGGGGAGGGCGGAGAGTGTGAATTTCCGATCCTTATCCTCAGCCTGTCCATTGGATTATCCTCCAGAGCCCAGCGCTGACATTGTGTCCATCAATGGGAGCCTTTTCCCCTACACCGCTCGCACAGAGTGTAGCTGAACACTGTCAGGTTTGGTACAGGACCTACACTCCCCAGCTCCCACACCACAGGATCAAGCGGGGGCCTTTAACATGGAGAAACTCAGCGAAAGCTTCTCTAAAATAGTCCCGCATTATCCCTTCCCCTTGATCACCCGAATCTCTACCAGCGTTAGCCACAGAGAATATCTGACAGAAAATGGCCAGCGTTTACGGGTGAAAATGTGTGTATCTGTGGGATGGAGAATGTTCACTTCTTGGTCAGAGATAACCAGAAATCACAAATTTAACTCATCACAGTGGCCCCAGTTGAAGTGCCGATGCTAGTTAAATTAACCCCCTCCTTTAACACTCTAAATATTGATTTGTAAACCCTAGCTATACTCAGATACTATTTCAATTTGATTATTACTTTGCCTACTTAACCCTAACTATATAAAACTGAGCTGAGGATCTCGGGCAAATTGAGGAACGTAGCAGATAAAATGAAAACCATTAAAAATGTTTTCAAAAATCGCTGCTTTTACAGTTACAGTATTCGCTGTTCAGCTGCTTTTCGCTGCTTTTACAATTACAGTATTCAAATATTAATTAAACCCGCGTTTCTACATTTCTTCGCTAATATTTATTCGAATAAGCAAAGCCTCTCCCGTTCGCTGCCAATTCCCACACACCCAAATGCATGAGGAAGCATCGAATCCTTTAAAATGTACCGTTCCATTTCACTGATATTTTTCTCTCTCCCTCAGACGGGGCTCAGTTTCACGGCTGAGATTTTGGGAATTCTGAGTCGAGCAGGAGCTAAGAGGAGGCAGGAGCACAGAGTCAGGAGCTGAGGTCCTGGCCGGCATGAACAAAGTCCATTCATTTGCCTTTGGAAATGTCCGTGGGGGGTAAAGGGGCAACAGTGTGGGCAAGCTGAGATCCTGGCTCCCCCAGGGACTGCAGAAGGATTGCAGAGTTACTGAGTGGAATGGCCCACTGTTTTAGTTCCATGTTGGTTTTGAAGCGAATTTTTAATTTGGGATTAGACGCAAGAAAAACTGTGTGCAGTCACTACAAATACAGAGTCCCATTCCGTTAGGTTTAACTTGTCGTAGAGTCCTTTTAAATAAAAAACTTATTGTAATTATTTGTGAACTCTTATACGTTTTTACATCTCTCTTATTCCAATCTATCCCTCTCTTCATTTCAGCTTTGACGGTGAATTCACCTACCCTACTTTCACTTTTGGTCCAGTTTTTGTGCTGCCAATTTCACAATCTTTCAATCTGATTGGTTAAGGGGATTATTTACCTGGCTTACATGGATCCCAGATCTCCTTTTCCTTGTTGGGCAGTTAATCCTTTCACCATGTGCCATGTAAAATGAAATAATAAACATGGGAGGTAACTAACAGCATATGCACTGCCACAGAAAAATGTGGTCCATTACATTTACAGTTATGATTCATATTGCCCCCAGAAATATGACCCTCAAATTTTCAAGACATCTAGGGAATATCGGAAGACACTTTGTAGCACTGTGTACTTGGACATAATTTGGCTTCCCATAAAAATGTTGTTCATTTTGGCCAGTAGAATAAGAAGGAAATAAAATATCTAAATGGTGAGAAGTTGCAGAGCTCTAACATACAGAAGGATCTGGACATCTTATTCTATAAATCACAAAAGGTTATCATACAAATAATTAAGAAAGCTAATAGAATGTTATTACTTATGCAAGGAGAATTGAATGCAGAAGTCGGGAAGTTAACTTTGGTGTCCAGGGCAGTAGTGAGACCACATCTGGAGTACAGTAAAATGTATGTGTCAGGTTATTTAAGGAGGGCATTGGAAACAGTTCAGAGAAAGTTAACTAGATTAATATTTAGAATGGTTATGTTGTTTTATGAGGAAAAATTGGATTGGCTAGACTTGTTTCCGCTGGAGTTTAGAAGAGTGAGAGGCAACTTAATTGAACCATAAAATCCTGAGTCATCTTGATAGGGTGGATGTAGAACAATATTTTCTGTTATGTGAGAATCTAGAACTAGGAGGCCATGTTTAAAAATAAGGGCTCACCCATTTAAAACAGAGATCGGGCGGACCTTTTTCTCCCTGAAGGTCTTGAATCTTTAGAACTCACTTACTCAAAAGGCAGTGGATGTAGTCTTTGAATATTTGTAAGGTAGCGATAATTAGATCCTTGATAAGTGATGGAGTGAAATGTGATTGAGATAGGCAAGAATGAGGTGAGGTTGTAATCAGAACAGTGATGATCAACCATGGTGCCTACTCCTGTTCCTAATGTTTGTAAAAATTAGGCTGTTTGTAACAGCAAATTTAATACTGAGTGCAAGGTGGCTCCAAGTCATTTTCTAGTCTGCAATGTCACTTCTTTATTCATCCCATTCTGCTTTACCCACTGCAGCTTGGATAGCAACATTAGGTGAGTTAAGGGAATGATCATGAAGCTCTAAACAACATGAAAATCACCTGAATCGTATTCCAAATGTGCTGGAACATCTGTTGGATGCAAATTTGCAAGGTTTCCTGGCAGAAAGCAATTCTCATAACAAAGAGTGGGAAAACTGATTTAGTACTTAATTTTGTCCAACTTCAGGGATCTGTATTCTAACCTAACTACACTAATGGAATGAGAGAAAGAGAAGATGCCACAAAAGCTCTTCCAGCTATATCAAATCTTCCATCAAAACATAACTAGATTTTAAAATAACTTGAATATGCAAATACCTTTTCTCTTGCTTTCTAGATTATCAAAAATTTTTCAAAGAATATATTTTCCCTCATGCGTAGTATTTTGATATCTCTTCTCAGGTTTTTTAAAATGTTTTATTCATACACAGGATGAGGGTATCACTGGCTAGGTCAGCATTTATTGCTCATCATGGCAAAGGAATAAAGGTCCTTTCAATGGCAATATCTTCAGAGTCGTTTATTAGATTGTGTGGCATGTCCCATATACTCTCAATATTTATCCCCATTTTATAGCCTCTACATCCAGAAGGCTACTTTGCAAGTGTTATTAACATGCATTTTAAAATGGTCCACCATTCCCCTCCAAAATTTGGCTCATACAATTTCATAGTATAGTTATTGAGATGTTTGCTTGTGAAATGGTTACTTAACAAGTTAAGATGTGAAATGTAATTGATTTACATTAATGGACCCTCACAACCCTAATCCAGAGACCCAGATTTGAATCCTGCCACAGCAGATGGTGGAATTTGAATGCAATAAAAATCTGGAATTATGAGTCTAATGATGACCATGAAACCATTGTCAATTGTCAGAAAAACTCATCTGGTTGACTAATATCATTTAGTGAAGGAAACTACAATCCTTATTTGGTCTGGCCTACATGTGACTCCTGACCCACAGCAGTGTGGCTGACTCTTAACTGTCCTCTGGGTAATTAGAGATGAGCAATAAATGCTGACCTAGCCAGTGACACCCTCATCCTGTGTATGAATAAAAAATTTAAAAAAACCTGAGAGGAGATATCAAAATACTACGCATGAGGGAAAATATATTCTTTGATAAATTTTTGATATAATCTAGAAAGAAAGAGAAAAGATATTTGCATATTCAAGTTATTTTAAAATCTAGTTATGTTTTGATGGAAGATTTGATATAGCTGGAGGAGCTTTTGTGGCCTCTTCTCATTCTCTCATTCCGTTAGTGTAGTTGGGTTAGAATACAAATCCCTGAAGTTGGACAAAATTGAGTACTAAATCAGTTTTGCCAACACATTATATAAATGAACAAAGTCTATGGATTTATTTCTAAATGCTTTATCAAGAGTGTGAAACAAATGCTTCTGCTTCACATTTACATTGAATGATATTATGGTCCCAACTCTGACAAGTTACAAAAGATGAAGATCTATTAAGGGAATTGCCAAATTTGATGCAAAGGTGAAGAACTTGTCCAGTTCCTGAAATATGATATTACTTATTCATTCCTGTGTATAAACTTGAAAAAAAACCCACTTTAACTAAATGGATTTTATCACAATTAAACAAATCTCTGACCAAAGTATCATTCACTGTAAAAGATAACATCTGTCTAGTTTAGCAAAAGCTGACTTTCGGGAGTAATTGCAAACCAATTAACTTCTATTAGCCTGAAAGGACTTTGTGATAATGCAGTGATAATATTTTGGAAGTTGCTCCTTATATTTAGTCCTCAGTGATACTGATGA